TTTCATATTTTCTTCTAAACAAAATTAGCTTTTTTATAGTATATTCGCAATGAAATGAAATAAAATAAGATATAATACCTTTTTGAGAAAACAAAATTCGTATACTGAGAAAAAATAAAAAAAATCCACTATATTATTAGGCAAAGAATTGTTAAAGAAGTAACACTGTTTCAGCTAAGGCAGTCAATATGGTGGAATTAGAGCGAGAAGCTACCAANATAGTACGTTCTCTGATTGAACCGCCATTTCAGTTATTCAATTGTGCAAAAAGAAGTGAGAAAATTTAATTCGCTCCAAAAATCTCCGTTAGAAACATAATTAGCGCAATTCAGTAATTAATTTTGAATTTTGCTAATAACAATGCTCTGCCACGAAAACCTACCCAGCTAAAAACTTTCTCCCTTTATTCCGACTGCGTCGAAACAGCACATTGCTTGGACCACATATCCGTTCTTAAGGCGGATTTATTGTTCTAGTACTGAACTTTTCCTTCCATGTCGTTGTTGCCGCCTTTTCTCCCAGAGAGCATTTCTACTGAACTCAGATAACTTGTAGTCTTTTGTTTCAACCTAACTTAAATAACGAAATAAAACAATTTTTTCAGCTAACGTAAATCAGTTAAGTTTTTAATTAAAATCTTTTATTTTTAATATGTATTAACTCTACAACTACAAACTTAAGCTATTATTGCTTAAACATCTTAAAAATGTTTTAATTTACCGCGCAACTTGCCCAATATTAAAATCTGGAGCAAAAAAACAACATTACCGCAAATCATTTTGGAAAACAACTTGAATTGAACGTTAATTATGATATTTCATAGATTAACTTTCCTCTATATGCATGTTAGTATCAATGTATGTATGTACGTATGTACTATATGTACGCAGTTATATGTAAATATTTACATTCTGTCATTTTAATATTTAAGCGATATAAAAATGTGCTTATACATAGGTAAGTAAATTGACGATGTGCCCATTACAAATTTAAACGAGGTCTATTATAATATTTATTTTCCAATTGAGGCCATGCGAGCAGAAGTAGTCTAACCAAAAAAAAAATGCGCTTCCTAAAATAGTCGCAAGTGTGATACACTTTAAAAAAAAAAAGTTGCTTAATCCCTAATTTTAAGCTACAGAGCAAAATAACGTACCATTAAATTAAGCAATACGCGACCTTTATTTAAAATTTATCATATTTGAAACTATTTTAAGAAGTTAAGTACAAAAAAAAATTGTGTGTTAGGCCACTTCTGCTCATGGCCTCAATTCTCCTATCATGTGCACGTTTTTAAACATACATATGTTTGTACGTACATATTAACTCTCCTCAGAACATTAAATATTATGGTGCGGATTTATACTTTTTTGAAGATTTGTGTGAATACAAACGATTACATAAGTATAGATAGAATGAACTTTACATACATACATACTAATACTGGAAATACTAGTTTTCATATTTAGTTTTTCATTTTTAAAACATATCTTTAAGAGTGCCTCTATGATCAGTGTATGTATGCGTGTATAAAATATCACTGAAATTTTAAATTTTGTCGTAATTTTAAATTTGCTTTTTCGTGCGTCGACGCTTGAAACCAGTCATTTGCTTAAGTAATTGCGAGTTTTCATCGTCCATGTCCATGCTGGGTTCCCACAAACGCAAACGTCTCGGAATATAAATTAGACCAATTAAAGTGATTGCTATAAAAGAGAAATAAAAATAAAAAAAACAATCAAATGTTGAAAATATCTACATATAAATATTTGATGTTTCATACATATAATGTATATGTAAATATATTATACATGTACGTATGTATATATAATATAGTATACAAATAGATTTATGTGCGAAAGTCATGTTTCGGAAGTTACAAAATGAATATTTTTTTGATGTAATCATGTTAGAAATACTCTAAAACCCCGGGAAATGTAACTATATTAGGGCCGATTATTCAATGTCCGGTTAACACAAATCGGAGGTAGAGGCACCGGTTAAGTACAAAACCCATTTGACCTATTGCGCAGGTTTGAAAAATTGTTAATTAAAATAATTGGAAATGTTCGACGAAAATCTGAATTTTGACCAGCTATAACTCTCAGTGAGCTTTAGTGTGAGCAACCACAAGAAGTGGTATGCCAGTATTATCAGTTTTTAATTTTTATAAACCTTGGTAGTGACCCCCATGTTTTATACTATTCAGTATGAAAAGGGTGTACAAAAATCAACGGAATCAAAATAATGATAATTTCTAAGGTATTAACAATATTTATAAATGATTAAATTATATATCGATGGCTGAATAGAAGACCGACCTTAGAACATTTTTAAATAACGCCTTATTTCAGAATTTGTGTAAAGAACGCCCAATTTTAGAATTTGATTGGAAACCGGTCTACCTCCGGATTCGGTTCAAAAATGCCCTATCTCAATTTTTTATAACTTCATAATGAGTTAAAAAAAATTACATAAGAAATGCAACTGCAACTAAAAGTACTGATTATGCAACCTTGCAAATGATGTAAATTACCGTTGATTTTTTAGAAATTTCTTTGTCGCATTTCCTTTCATATAACGAATAAACACGATTTATTTTTAAGTACACCGCCTTCGGGAAACATATTCTAAAACGAAAAATTTAAGCCACTTGAAACTTGCATTTTATTATACTAGAAATTAGTGGGCTACAAAACTTTTAAAAATCGTTCTAGAAAATCAAATTAAAAAGCTCGAAATTTTTACGAAAGTTTTTTGATTTTTTTAAATATTGCACAAAGTTTGAAACTTAAATTTATACGAGTTTTGTTAAAGAATGAACTATACTAAAAAAATAACTCAAAATAAATAATTGTGAAAACTGGTCAAAATTTGGGTATACTAAATTTTTTTCGACCACTATATCTATGTAAATATTATACATATGTACATATGTGCTTGAGTGCTGACCCCATTTGTCAGGCTGTTTGCTATCGCTACCGGCTATATCTAGCCGGAAAACTGGTAACACTGGGCATATCAAACAGGTAGTACCATTAGAGCAAAAACAACATTTGCATTTTGTTGTTGTGCTTCTGGTATCGAAAGCGTCAAAAACTGTTCTGATTTTCTTCTTCTAAATGAAAGCATGCCATGTGATATACACAAAAAAAAAATAAAAAATAAAAACTTTAAATTGGAAAAAATTTAAATTGTTGCAACTTTATTTCTTAGTAAATTTGCTTGCTTCTCGAAGCATTGATCCATCCTTTGCAATGCCCAGTAATCAGCGGTTGTGCTGTTGAGTTGGACGAGCGTTTCCAAAGCTGCTATTCAATCGTTTGTTTTGTATGGAAGAAGGTTTCACATGCAAATAGATTTTAACAACTTGAAAACGTAAATTAAAAATATTTGTAATTTTCGAGACCAAATAATTAAAAAAAAAACTCAAATCAGCTGCTATACTGATACTACCTGTTCAATGTGCCTTCAAATCGATGGCTGAATTAAAAAACAATGAGCGATCAAAGATGTTTTTATGAAAAATTTAGCAGGAAAGAATGTTACTCATACGCCATGTACACATGATTAAAACTCTTTCTTTTAATTTCGGTTGTTAGGGTTTTTTTTTTTTAATAATGTTTTAGATATTTAGTGGAGCTATCTGCTTCTCCTCACTACTTTCCTCTCGAAAAAGAAATACTCGTATTGATGTCACGTGATCTGCAAGAACCCAAGAGACTTGTAAATTTATCCTCTCTCACCTATGTATGTACCTCGTCAGTGCTAAAGATGCATAACTCTTATTCAAGTAGGAATTAAATATTGATCATTATAGGTTTTACTGCTTCTTGAATTTTGTAAGTTCTTTGGTTCTATTAGTAGAGCGCAAAGAATTTTATCATATGATATTAGTTGTGTTCTTTTACCATACAGACATATTTGCATAAACATTTTTTTTAGAACACTGTTCTCCATATATGTAATACTTCTATATTGGCAGTAAGCTAACTTCTCAATGTGTAAGCATACCGAAATAGTATTACATATATGCTGTTCTCAGTGTTTAATTTTCTAGCTTTATAGTCAAAACTTACAATTGAGAACGCACGGAAAGATCACGTAAAAGTTCAGTGTACTCGAACGAAAATATAAAGCTTCGGAAGCATAGAGAACCATAGTTAAAGCCAACGAACAGCCGCCCATGCTAACAACTCTGTAAGAAAAAATATATAAAAATCTATGTTAAACGGAAGCCATAATATTTCAGTGGCTATACATATGTACATACATATGTATGCATGCGCAGGTATGTAGGTAAGCATATATTATCCCAATAGTAAATTGAATTATCTCAAAAGCAACCTACGAGAAGTATACACATGTGTACTTACAACTTAGTTACTCTCACGCTTACTTTGCATTCGTTTTAATAGAAAAGTTGGTATGCACCTGCAGTGAGCAATAATAAAACAACAAATAAAACGCGTAAAAGAGGTAAATGAGGGAAACTCGTTTACGGCCACTTGCCAGTGCTACTTAACTTTAGCGCGGCAGTTTTTCTAACTGCTGAACTGAGTTTAATTTTCACTTTGA